TGGAACAACCGCTCATGACATCTCAAATAGCCAGGCTGATAACCGACAGTGACGATGGCTTCCGTACGTTGATGAAAACGCATTGTGCAGGTGATTAGTCATGGACTGCGCTTCCACCGATACCCGCATTGGCTTAGCTGCTATCCGTATATTGGCAAAAATGTCCCCGGCCTGAATGGCAGCAGAAACGAAACGAAACACGGGTTGGCTGCTTGTCTCCTCGCAACGAACCGATCACCATGTATCCGCAGTGTATGGTCACAAAGTCTCCGTATTGGTAGTGCCGTTTGGAGTCGGGCGATGATCACGAGCCAGGGGCCAGAGACAAGGAGCAGCACCCGTGACTGGGTTTGCGAGGTGATGTTAAGACCAAATCCATGGTAAGCCCAAAATAACGGCTACCTGTAGTGCACAGCTGCGTGTCGAGCTCAGCACAAGGAACCGCCTCAAATCCGTATAGGTACGCCTTCGGATACAAGCAAGAGAATCATGGTGCCGCTGGAGAAGGCGACCTGGTGGCAGTGACCCTGCAAAGAGTGTAGGTACCTCATGTACGGGCCGCAGCGTACAGGACGGAATCTTGCATTCGATTGCACATGCCCCCCCCCCCCCAGGCTTCTGCATCACACCGGGCTAGAAGCAACGCCGGAACACACATCCACCGTCCCTCCTAATGCGACGAGCCCCGCACCGGCCTGTCCCGTTGGCATTTGCTATGCGGTTGCGTGCCTTCGTGACTGAGCTTGTCGATTCTCATTGTGTCTCTTTTGAAAAAGATGGTCGTCTTTCGTAATGTCCTTGGTAAAGGGAGAGCCTCCAAGCTAGTCGCTCCGTGACCCATATATCTCTGGAACCCGTATCCGTACTTTCCTCGCACCTCAAAGTCGCACCGAAGTCGGACCGCAACGTAGAGATATATCGTATCTGAAGTGTCGATTCTTCCTAGCAGTCTTGTAGGGCCAGGCAAAGCCTTTGGGGGGCCCCTGCTGCGGGAACTTAGAAGAGCGCCGACCATCTAGCATACCACCTACGTTGACGCAGATGCATGCATTGCCCGACATGCAGCCACGAGGATGAACGACCTCCACCTTGTCGTCCACCTTTGTTAGAGATCTGAACTGGCTCTGTCGTTGATCTTAATCGCGGAGGCGCAGACACGCACGTCAATCGCGCTGTGAGAAGCTCATCCCTGCAGACGAAGAGGATCTGGTCCTCGGCCACTTTTTGGGTAGAGTGGCACAAATCCTTGATTCATGGGACTGTGACGCCCAGGAGTAGTCGAGATACTTTGCGTGTGTTCAAGCCGTACGCGGTCGGCAGAAAGCCTTCAACTGCATCCCGAGAGTCCCTGTCCTTCTTCCACCGCAGGAAGCTGGGCAGGAACTTTGTACGCCTGAGCAAACGGAAGTGTGTTCCATTATCCAGTCTCTTCATGTGCAACATCAACAAGCATGTTGTCAAAGCTGTCATGTATCACAAGCCCCGTCGGCGTTGCGTTGAGAGAACAGCCATCGAGGTTACCAAGCTAAGCATCCGAATCTGCTTACTGTAGGCGGGCGTGGCAGGACACCAAGATCGAAAGAACTTCGGGCAGCACACAGAGGTCTTTAGCAGGTCCAAAGTTTCCTCATCTGCAGGAATCTTGCATTGCAGAATGGCCGATCGGAACATTTCCCCCATGGCAGGAAGAGCAGTCAGTCCGCCGTTACAATTGATCACCGAGTTGGAGGGAGCTGACCGAAGGGCAGCTTGCTTCAATAATGAGAGTGATGCGGCTTGGGACTACTGTAAACTTGACGCCGCTCAATCACTTTGCGATCCATATTACATTAGAGTTCGGTATCGTCGCCGTGCGTTGTCCCCCGTCAGTCGTCTTGGATGCGGCAGGAAAGAGAAACGACTCTTCTCAATACCACTGTTTAACTCCATCGTTTTGCATTACTAAAGGATTACCGCAGTACATATAGACGCTACCCTGCCCTCGAATTCCGCACTATTTAACCTTAACCCTTTTTATAAATTACTTATTTTTTTTTATTCTACCCTCTCCCTCGTTAAAGGATTACTAAAATCGTAATTTTAATAGCTTATTAATAAGCTAATATTACTATTTAAAAATAAATAACCTATACTTATATATAAGTACTAGAAGTTTTATTATTATAAAAATAATAATAAATATATTAGAGTACTCGAAAGAGCTTTTTAATAAACTTTTAATATTATTTAAAATTATAATCCTCGAGTTATAAAAAAAAACTAAAGTATTATATTAATATAGCCCTATCCGTTTTATTAATATTAATAATAATTTTCTTAATATAAAATATATTATTAATACTTTATAGCCGTATTATTACCCTTTATAAATCGTACTTAACGTTAATAAGGATTTTAATATTATTTTTTAGTTCGTTTATTAAGGCCGTTATTATAGAGTTAGTTTAGTTATTAATATTTTAATAAGTATTTTAACTTAACTTAAAAGCTCTTATAACTTTAAAAAAGAGGTTTTTAAAGGATTTATAATTAAACTTTTTATTTATTATAAATAAAACTATTATAATTAAAATTATAATATTACGAACCTCGATAATAAGTAATTAGTAATATAATTTTTTTTTATAACGAGCTTTAAAAAGTATTTTAATTTAAATACTAAGTAGGTATTATATTATTTTATTAAAACTATATTCTTATATTTATAATTTAGAAAGAATTAACTTTCTTCGATAACAAGGTACTTAGACTCTTCTCAATACGGCACGAGGCAGTGGCGCCATAAGCCACCGTGTATGCCTGGCTACAAGCCTTGCAATGCTGCAATTCCCAAGCAACGTCGCGCGTTTGGCGTATTTGCTCACTTGAACATCTGTTTCGGCTGGCAACTTCGACATGCTCTCCGACAAGCGCAGAATTGTAGGCCTTCATAAGAGAAACACAAGCCGTAGGATCTGAGCTCTCTGGGCATTACTAACGCCGCCGTAAAAGACGACGGGGGTAGTAGGGTAGATTGTGAAGCCATTTCACGAGCAAGTCTGCTGTTCCCATAAGCGACGGCGCAAACGAGGTGATGTGCAAGCCCGACTGCGCGTAATGAAATGGATGGCTTGAATAAAAGAAAGCAAACTCAGAGGCGTCATCAGCATAGGTAGTGAGACCCAAAGCCATGAGAGTTGCGAAAGGCTTATGAAGTTATGAACCACCTTGTTTGAAAAGCCGGTCTATGACTGTCACCTAGCCGCGCCTACCAAAGGGGTTTGGCTGAGCTTGGCTAGGCGCCAGGAGTCTCGACCTGCGGACCTTGCGTGACGAGTTGGACTAGAGGGATAGGCGGGCTTGACGGTGTTTCTTTTTCCAGTCTTGGCAGCCGTTGGTTATTGTCGGCGGCGGCCGTCCGCAAGTCGACCAGTGGTGCGTGTTTTCTGATCCTTACGACAATGTCTCGCCGGCCGAAGGCTAAGACGGCATTTGCGACCAGCTTGCCGCTCTTATTACCTAGGTACTGTCATGGTCAAGGTGGAGGGTTGGATGAAAAGCTCGGGCGCAACGGAGATCCGTGAGAAACTAGCTAGGGCTTGAGTATTCGGAGCAGGGTTGAGTTGCCAGCGTTAGGTAGGATGAGCAAGGTGGCAGGTATCCGTATGTACAAAGTAGACGACTGATGTGGTCCGTGATGCCGATGTTTGCTCGAGGTGGTTGGGAGCGACCCGGCACCGGAGCTTTGGAGGGAACAAGTGTCTCCGTACACGTACTCGGGGCTCCAGCAGGGTTGAGGGTAGTCCGCTCGCCTGGGTCTGGCCATGACGGGACTCGAGGGTCCGGATGCGCCAAAAAAAAAAGTGTGAGGGCAATTTGGAGGACGGGAGCCAGAGACAAACCAGCCCATGCTGGGAAGAGCAGGCGGTTCGAGGTTGATGCAGTCGAAGGCGTGCGTCCGCAGATGTCTCGCTGTGGAAACAAACAACAGTACTCCATCATTCCAAGTTATCTGCCTACTTTGTAGGCTGAAGCAGACCAAGACCACAGCTCATCTTTATTGTGTGAAAATACGATGCATTTGTGCAACGGGTGGCCCCGAGTGCATTCCCCGGGAAGCTCGGGAAGACATTGAATGAGGCTCGCCAACGTGCCTGGCAGCTCTGGTGACTGATCTTCATTTGAGTTGAGCCCTGGAACGCATGCCTGCCTTGCTGCGTCCAGGGGAAGGTAACTGTACACAGGTCGCTGCAAATTTCCGAGTAGAGAGACTTGGGTCGATGAGGACAGAATGTCGAAGAGCGAAGGGACCCCGGCCGTCTCAAGTTCTTGCAGCGAATTGGCGGAGAGAGAGGTATCTTGGCTCGATTCTCTGGCAATTGGCACAAGCCCAGCGACTCTGTCAGTCTGGTTGTCGTTGTGGTTGTCGTTGTGCGCGTTGCGCACCGCAGACCGCTCAGAAGGCAGAGACGGTGACGGTGACTGTGACGGGCGATTCGAAGAGGCAAGGTGAGGCCCCTTCAATCGGCAGAAGAGCGTGGAGGCGTGCGATAGGTTGGAGAGGGGTCGGTGGGCATGAGACACTGAAACGATGAGAAAAAAGAAATGTGGTTGATGAACTGGCCGGCTGAATGCTAATGCTGTCGGGACGTCGCTACCTTACTTTGCTCACAATCTGCACCCGTAAGGTAGGTAGTCCGCTCTCGGATCAGGAAGCAGCAGGGAGTGGACTGCCTTACCCTTGGCAAGTCCGAATTGAAGGACCTCGGGATGTGAATGTCTTTACGGAGTAGTGTACAGAGTACGTATTTGTAGGTATAGAGCATCAGGATTTCGAAGTAGACATCGAAGTAGTCAGTCTGTCCTCCGCCAGTGAGCAGGGCACTTGCCTGAGACGCAGTTAAGGGATCTTATCTGGGGGAGATGGCGACAGCACCAATATACCAAGGATATCCTCGAGACGTTGACGGGCACCTGCTTACGATAGCGGGCTTTTTTATGATACCTCATCCTACCCAACCATGACAGGCAGGAGGTATATTCTGTGGTACTACGTGGGAGGGGCATGGATTGTCGACGATTCCTTCCTGGGCTGGATGGACCTGAAGGTCGACCATGTCACGAATGGAAACTTGAGCGAGATTGTAGGCAAGACCGGCCGCGTTGGGAACCTCAGGCAAAGAATCTCATCACATCTGGGGCCGGGGAAGAAGGAGGTGGATTTGCGTGCTTGCCGAAGACTCAAGGATTTTCGGGTCTCTTAAGTTGCCCTTCCTTCCTCAGAAATCTATGTAGCAAGAAGTAAAGGGAAAGTATGCATTAAGTATGGAACACGAGGATGCCGTTTTAAACTCGATACCAGTACCGTACCTTTTCCCTACCTACATCTTACCTGACGCATGTAAAGTGCGACCACAAACAATGTCTTACGTAATTAAATACATTTCTAATGCATCTTACAGTCCGATCACGATAACAACATGTCGAACAATAACAGGAAATGGCCGCCGTCGCATGTTACGCAACTGAGCAAATTGGAAGGTTATGAATGATGATAGTCGTCTATCAGCGAAAGAGATTCGGCCCGCAACTGCCTTCCTAGATAAGGTGTTGGAAGGGAAGGTGAGGTACGGACATTATATCCGTGAAGTCGGCTTTCTTTCCCACAAACCGTTCATGGTTCTTCCTGCCGTGGTGTCCACCACTTGTTGCTCCAAAGGACCAATTTGGAAGTTGCAGCGCCCACCTACCAGCCACCACCTTGCCGCGATTGTGACGGGGACTTCTGCCCATGTTGATTTTCTATACCCTAGTCATCATCCACTCTTGCTCCGCAAAGGGAAAGCAGGGCAAGGCAAGGCACATAGGGTTCGCAGCGGGGCCGGCGCGGAGAAGGCACTGGACAGGTTCACTAAGTCAAATCGGCAGGGCAGGCATGGGAGGGCGGAAAACAAGCAAGCAAGCAAGCAAGCAAGCAATTGAGCAAGCAGCACGCACGTCGCACGCCGCACGCCGCACACGAGAGACAGATGAGCAAAGCGGGTTTCCTGCGAGATGTGGAAACGCAAGGCAAGGCAAAGCAAAGCAAGGCAAGGCAAGACAAGACAAGACAAGACGCGACAGAATCCGCTGACCCAGACCTGATCAGACCAACCAGCCAGCCAGCCTGATTCTCTCCCCAGTCAGCAGGCCGGCGACAACGATGACAGACCTGTGGAGAGTCAGCACCAGCATCTTTACGGATACTCCGTATGAATACGTACATGGAGAGAGACGACAAGAGCAAGGTCAGCCAAGATAGCGTTACAAGATCTGCCTTTTGACATGCGCATGGCCCTCTGCCGCACAGTGCAGCAACGTCTGTGCTTTCGAGCACCATTGTCGGGAACCCCCCAGCCAGCCCAGCGCACTAAGATCAGAGATGCATCAAGCGACAAGCCAATCCTTAACCCTTGGTCTAAACAGACGAGGGAGCACGGGAGGACCAACTGCGGTATGGTCAGATACCCCCAAATCGGCCCAGTGTCGTTTTTATATCCTCTTACCGAGTGCTAGTAGTGTAGGCTCGGCAATCGACAGCGAACGCCCCCCTTCTATGTCTCCTGGTTCGCTGCGCGCTGCGCTAAACCGACGGCGTTGTGCTTGGAGTCCATCAGAAGCGTCGAGAAGACGACGATGCGCTATTGGCTTGCTTCTTCTTGTTCTTCCTTCGCCGCTTGCTCTCGTCTTTTTTTATCCCTTGCCTCGGGTCCTAAACTTGCAACGGTGCTTCTACCGGTAGTGAGGCCATTGTTGTCAACCATTTGCTATTGAGGCTCTTGTCTTGTTGACCGTTGATACCGGGACTTTGGGCAATAGCCGCTTGCTACACTGCCTCACCTAACCTCACCTAACCATGAAGAAACTGCGCCGCTCTGAGATGATGGCCTTGGCCGCCGCCAATGGCACATGGACCGTACCTTGGTGTCGGGTACGATTAACTTTTCCTTCGAAGCAATGGACACCCGAACCCTACATGCGCCGACCGGATGACATGACACTTTTGTTGGAACGGCAGTACCTTGCGACGGAACTCAAGTCCGGGACAAAACAGGCCCTGGAGATGCCGTGCTTCATTGGCAGCTGCGGCGGAAACATCCAACATCCAAACGCACAGTCCACTGTCTGCCCGACGGCCTTCGAGGTTCGGTCGAACAACAAAGGTCACAACAATGACACGGCCAATGGGTCAAGGAGAGCACAAGAGGCAACGCCAAGTCCGAGGCCCAAGGGTAGGCAGATAGAATGGATGGATCGAGGAGCACGGCCGGGACACTGTGCCAACCAGCGTTAAGCCCGCCTTGGTACAATGTTGTCAACCGCGGTTGCCGCTGCGGCCACCATCTCCATCTGCTGAACCGCTCGGGTCGCCTTACTAATTTGCCGGACTTTACTGCAGCCTCTATCATCTTGGTTTGACCGTCTGGTCCGAGTGATGTGAGTTATACCCGGGCTTGTTCGTTGTTGAGGAAATGGATGACACCAAAGCCTAGGTCTGGGCTTGAAGTCTAGCACACTCTACTCTCTATGTCTCGAACAAGACGACACTGACGAGTTGCGGGGCTCTAGCGGCGGTGCGGTGAGTGACTGGCAATGGACAGTGGTCACAGCGTCGCTGGAGACTTGGAACCGACGACCTCCGTCCACATGCCCGGGGCTGTGCCGGGGTTGAAGAACGATTCGAGCCACGGAGAGAAATTAACTACGGAGTACAGGATACGCATCAATGAGACAAGTTGACCAGCGGGCAGAAGCGATCAGTGCTTTTGGATCTTCAGATCGGTCCCCTGGAAACTGAAAAGACCTTGAACTTGGGTTTTCAACCAAAAGCTGACAGTTTCTTGATTTGCCATGCTCTGTGTGTTTGTGCAGAGAGAGAAACTCGAGACGCCACTCTTCAAATCACAAAAGGACGAGAAAGAAAAGACGAAACAACACGAGTATCGGCGCAATGGCGACGGCCCAGAGACATGAGAATCGCCATTCGTCTCTGGCCGACGTCACTTGGACTTGGAAAGAGCATTTGATATGCACTCTTTGGACTATGGCACATAGATTCAAGGGCTCCAGATCGGGCCCACTCCACTTCTTCCCATCTCTGTCGAGGCTCGTCTCCTATCTCCCAAGTCCCCGCACAAGGGCAGGCTCAGTCGACGTCCCGTCGGGATAGTGATACTGGATTCAAGCGAGATACAGATTGTGTCTGGTTTCGTTTCGATGCTTGTGCAAGTTACACACCGTTCTTCCAGTGCTGCTTGCTCTCAGTTCGCCGGGGGATAAGTTGCTCTGGTCTCATGGATCCATAGCGTGGGAACAGTAGGGATCGGTCGAGGTTGTTTGGCACAGAGCAGCCAACGTCGACGCCCACATTCTGCTCGGTCGCAGTTGCGGTCGGGTGAGGTCCGATGTTCGCACAGGTATTGGTACCTCGTCTCGTGAGAGTCCTTGGGCTTGGAATAGGCCCTAGGCCTGGCGGGCTTCCTTGCCAATGCAAAGCCCTGGCATTATCTACAGTGGCCTACTTGATTGCGTTGAACTGCGTTTACCTGCGTAGTCTGGACATTGTCTAGATGGGAATCGATCATTGCCCGCACGCCTGCTCCTTCACGTTGTCCGTCCGCCTCAGAGTGTCTAGGCCCGGTGTGTTGAGTATTCCTTCTGAAAGGCCGACAGACCGACCGCGACAGACTGGGGCTTGAACTCAGGCCATGGGCCACCCTGGTCAAGGACAACAGACCCCTCTCTTCCTGGTGTCACCCTACTCTGACCACGCCCCTCGAGCGACGACACTAGGCCCCGGGAAACGACAACGAAGCCCACGTTCAACGAGGCCCTCGACGCCATTACTCCCGTGGCACGCCCCCCCTTCCCGATTCTTGTCGCTGTCCTTCCCTACACCCACCGAACGGCGACGGTTAGCTTAGCCTGGCCGTACCACCCTTCCAGGGCTCGGGTAGCTGGCTGAGAATACCTACTCTCTGCGCCCCAGCCCGACCCAATGGTCAAGGCCGAAGAAGAGACGAAAAAGAGAGGTGAGTGCCGGCGGTAGAGTCGCTTACCGACGCGGCCACGGATCAACCTGACAGAGCGAGTTAGAGTGAGAGAGAGATGGAGCTTGGGGCTTGGAGCTGGTACTTGGAGGGAGGAACAGGTTTCGAGGTGCGGACGCAGAAGCAGAGTAAAAGGGCCCGCTGCCAGCTAAGGCAAGGTACGGGAAGGCAATGTGAGGTGAGGTGATGGATGTGCTGTTGAGGTTCGCATTCCCACATGGATAGAGAGGAACGCAAGACAGGGCAAAACGAAGTAAGCGTACCGGCACCGCACGCTGTATCCGTACCCCGTACGGCTTGTTGGCAGAGAAAGAGAGAGAGAGAGAGAGTGAGCGGAGTCTTTAGGCACTTGTGAACACAAGGTACTCCGTACGAGTCAATATCCCCACTTTTCCCTAAGGCTTCTTCTCGTTCGCTCCATCCAGAAGCTGAGGATAAGTCGACAGACTGGGGAACATTGTCAGTTCCGTCCCGTCCACATACGAGAAACAGAGCCCACACCTGGGACTTGGAGTCGGGAAAAAGAAAAGATAAACAGCAAGAAAGATACTGTACCAATGACAGGCCGTATGAGCGACCAGAGGAAGGACCAGGACCATGCTGCGTACACGAGACCCCGAAGGAGTCGTAGGTACCGACTACATTGCATCCCAAAGTGCACGTCCCATGCCATGAACAGTACTTCGTAGACAGGCGTTGCGAAATAGACATTGAGGCAAAAGAAAAATAAACGCAAAGGGAGAAAGCAGTTGAAGGAGCTGACGATGGTTGGGTACCGAGACAAGGAACATGGACAGCGCAGTACGTCCGTACCTTACCTTGGTTCCAGAGACGGATCGAGGTTAAGCTCCCAGCTCCATGAAATTGAATGCGAATACCGGTACACTCAAGGTAGGCAAGGGAAGGCTCCTTGGGTAGTAGGGTCCATGATTCTGCTGTCTGCTCGCTCCTCTGGACTTTGGAGCGCGTGTGCGTTGGCTGTTGGCTGTATGTGCCTCCATGTGTGCCGCGGATGCGTGTGTGTGTGTGTGTGTGTGTGTGTGTGTGTGTGTGTGTATGTATGTGTGTGTGTGGCTTCGTCGTCGACGACCGAAGTACCGGGATACTTCGCGCACCTCAACTTTCGCTCATCTGTCCGCCGATACTTTACCTTACCGGGTGGGAAGAAAAAAGCTGGATACGTATCTTTTCCGCCAGTCGTCGCTCTAACTCGGTTTTTTTTCTTCTCTTCCTTCTCGCACCCCCCACCTCACCCCCCTTCTCCGCTCTTCATCCTCCTCCCCTCCTTCTCCTCTTCTCCTCCCATCTAGCATCCCATTCAATCCCTTCCCCCCCATCCATCCCACTTGGTAGAGACCCCCGGGTCTCCGTACCACGGTACTTTCGGCCTTATCCTCGCCCTCCAGCTTGCTCGTCCTTCACCCTCCCCCAAAGACCCCCTCATCTGCGACCCCCGGTCGGCCGGACTGTCCACTTAGCAGCAGCACTGAACGGCCAAACCCACCAGTCTCTGAGCTCCTCCGGGGAGGGGGGGCAGGCCCTTGGCCTGTGCCATTTTCTCAACCCAAGCCCACCTACCTTGTCGAACGCCGCTACCAGAGTCCGTATCTTTTGCCCGTGAGATACCTCAGTCCTCGCCGCTATACTTGCCCTCCCAGCACAGCGTCGCGCTACCTGGCTCCGTACGCAAGTATGGTACGGAGTACGGGCCAGACAGTTCACAGTAGACAGACAGATAGACAAATGGGCCAAAGAAAGCAAGCGAGCGGGCAAAAGAGAGTGCGCGAGAGAGAGACAGAGACAGAGAGAACCCTACCGCTCTTCTAGTAGACACACAGTACCTACCTGCGAAATATCGCCTAACAGTACCTGGTCCTTCTGCCTCTCCGCCTCTCTGCACCTCTCGCTCTGAGTCTCTGGGTCCTGGAGTCTGCGCTCGCTCTGCTTCGACCTCTCGGTGCCCCATGGACCCTGCCCCATGCTCTCGAGCTCTGCCATGTCCGTACCGCTACCGCCGTACCACACCAGCATCGACCAAAGTGCGGATACCGCAGTACCCCAGTAAGGTACCTTTACCCTCAACCCTCAATCCTCAACCCGCACCTGCACCTTGCACTTGCGCCGGCCGGGGTGGGCGTGGACATGGGCCAGAGGGCGTGTGTGGTGTGGATTGTGGATGGATGGACTTCGACCTGCCTCCTCTTCTTTTCTCACCACCAAAAACAAAACCTTCCCACGCCCGTCTTCTTTCTTTTCTTTCTACCTCTCACGACTCCACCAACCACCTCCAATATTCCACTCAGGATAGCCAAAGAGGCGAGGACGGTAAGTCAGAACTTCTTCTACACTTCCACTGCCTCTTCTACCCTCTTCTTCCACCTCCTCACCTCACCTCAACCCGCCTAACCTCCAACTACCCTTCTCATTCCTCTGCTGCACCTCCTACTGCACACCCGCCCCCATTCCTATATACGCCAAACTCGTAGCTAATGTACCTGCATTAGAAGAGTTGGGCGAGCTCGACGAAGAAAAAAAAAGAGAAGCAAATATCAAGGAAGACCAAGACGATTCACCTGCTCTCCTCGAGTGTTTGTGTGCTGTGTCTGGTACCTGCCTGAATAGAGACCTCCAAACAAACGGCCCTCCACCGCTTGTTACTCAGCCCCGATTTCAGAAGAAAAAGGGCATTCCCTCGCTTCGCATCGTCACCGTCCTCGGCTCCATTCGTGCAACCCGCATTGCAATTTCGAGAGACTCACCCCAAGTCTCCTCTTCTGTCACCTCGACAAACGTCTTCTCCATCAGTCAGCCTGCAACCTAAGGCTTACGACCGCCAATTCGACAAGACACCGCAGCTACCAAATCGCCGCCTCCGCCATCTCCATCAAACCTCAGATGCTACGAAGATAGAATCTCCTGATTTTTAACGACTGCTTACGACGACCACGACCGTCCTGATCTGTTTCTTTTTTCAAAAGAACCATTGTGTTGTACGGATTATTCCGTCCATACTTTGTAGCACCGTCACCGCTGGAAGCAACTGCAGTCTTTGCGCCGCCGAGCCACCTTCGCTGCTTCCAATTGCCCTTGCTCCAAGCTTCTTCGGATATCTAGTCCGGCACCACGACAAGACTCCTCGAAAGAGAATTGCTTTCTCTTTCCGCACGTCTGACATCCTACTGCTGTCGTAGTTTCGAGGCTCGCTAGGCGAACCCGGACTTTACTGACCTCTGGTGTTTGGTGGTAGAACCTTCGGGGCAACAACCGTGAAACTGGATTTACCGTCGATTTCTTCAGTGCAAACCCGGGGACCGACCGACGTGTCGTATTACAACGCTCACCCGGCTCAGAGGCCGTCGTACATGAACAGCGAGAGAGTGCCGTCTCTTCCATTGCCCAACCTGCATCAGGCGTACTCATCGGGTACCTCGTCACCCCGGGTCAGCTCAATCGGCTCCGCTTCAAGCTCTCACGCAGGCTCGCAGTCGTCCTTCACGTCGGCCGCATCCTCCCACGGACCCAAGACACCTTCTCCCACTCTGCCCATCAACGCGGCGATCCCTGGATCTTCCGGTCAGCCAATTGGTAGTTACGAGCATTACCCCGCCATGAATCAACCTGCAGCAGACATGTACTATCAGCAACATATTTCTGCCGGTCAAGCGCCACCGCCCCAGACCGTGACCTCCGGCGCAATGTCTTACCACTCCCAGCCACCGCCGTTACAGCCAAGCCATCTGCCTCAATATCAGCAGCAGACTCAATACGGCCAGCCGTACGGTTATGCCAATGGCTTGACTTCGCCTCAAAGCGCTCCCGTGAACAACGGAATGGGTGGACAGAACGTGCTGCCTCTCCCAGGTGTCAACCCTGGAGGTTTCCAGGGTTTCGACACCACTGGCCAAGTCGCCCCTCCCGGTATGAAACCCAGAGTCACGGCCACTTTGTGGGAGGATGAAGGCAGCCTGTGCTTCCAGGTTGAGGCACGAGGCATCTGTGTTGCGCGTCGCGAGGGTAAGTTCGATTGGCATATCCAATGGTCGCCGAAGCATGCTAACATGCACACCAGATAATCACATGATCAATGGCACCAAGCTATTGAACGTCGCGGGTATGACCCGCGGTCGCCGCGATGGAATTCTCAAGAGCGAGAAAGTGAGACACGTCGTAAAGATTGGCCCTATGCACCTTAAGGGTGTCTGGTGAGTTTCATGTGCCCCAAGACAAATCCGGCCGGGCTAGGTCTAACGTGAAGAAAAATAACAGGATCCCTTTTGAGAGAGCTTTGGACTTTGCAAACAAGGAGAAGATCACCGAACTGCTCTATCCCCTCTTCGTCCACAACATTGGCGCTCTGCTCTACCACCCCACGAACCAGACTCGCACCAACCAAGTCATGGCTGCTGCTGAACGCCGCAAGGCAGAACAGAGCCAGATGCGCGGTGCCCCTCAGAATGGCGCCCCTGGGCTGCCGTCTATTCAACAGCACCATCATCACTCTATGGGACTGCCTGGACCTCAGCAACCACTGCCGTCCCATGCTAACATGGGCCGTCCCACTCTCGACCGCGCCCACACGTTTCCTACTCCCCCGACTAGCGCTTCTAGCGTAATGGGTGGCAGCATGGGCGCCTCAGACAACGGATTCCAGTGGGCTCAATCTCAAGGAATGACCAACGCGCAGCCCCAGAACCCCATGTCTATTGACACTGGCCTCAGCAATGCCCGTTCCATGCCGGCAACTCCTGCCTCCACACCGCCTGGCTCCACCATTCAGAACATGCAGCCCTATCAGACCGGCACACAGCAATACGACAGCTCGAGGGCCATGTACAACCAGTCTTCTCAGCAGTCCCCTTACCAAACCAGCCAGGGCTCGCAAGATCGCTCCGTATACGGTCAGAACGACCCATACGCTAAGAGCGATATGGGTCCTCCGTCAGCACGGCCCGCTGCAACGAGCGCCACCCAGGATCAGAAGCCCTCAAACGGCATCATGCATCCTGATTCCAATGCTCCTCAGCCTGCGGGCGAGGAAGAGGCAGACCACGAGCACGACGCCGAGTACACCCACGACAGCGGCGCCTACGATGCCAATCGCGGATCGTACAACTACTCGGCTCCTCCCGTTGGATCCCTTGCCACCGAACACCAACACCTCTCTCCTGAGATGACGGGTTCGCCCAACCACCCTCCTGCATCAGGCCGTGCTACTCCCCGTACCGCCACTGCACCTCAGCCCTACTACTCCCAGCAGGCCGGCTACAGCACGCCTCCGCGTGTCGCTCAGCAATCTTCAAGCAACCTCTTTAATGTAATCACCGACCGCAATTCTGCAGCTGCTGGCGGTAACAATGTTTACCAGACCCAGTCCGACATGAACTCCATGCCCAACGGGTACCCCTCACAGATGAACGGTGCCTCGAGTGGCATCAAGCGTGGTCGCGATGATGACGACGACCTGCAGCGTCCGCTGAGCGGTGGCAGCATGGACATGAAGCGCAGAAAGACGCTTATGAACTCGGCTGTTCCCACGTATGACACCATGGCTCGCGCTCCTCCCGTTATGGCTCAACAGCAGCAAGGAAGATAGTGGCGGCGACATTTGTGGGCCGGCCATACTCTATCAGCCCTGAACCTCAGTCACTTCATTGGTGGGCGTTGTGGCGACCTTTGGTTTGAGGCATAATGATAAACTGATTATGATCCTGAAGCCTCGAGTGCGAGGCCTCTTGACATTCTTTGCACACCAATTTTCTTATTTGTCTTTTTATTCGCGAGACGACTTTTCGGCATCGAGAACCCATTGGAGACGACGCTGACGAGCTGACGACTTCTCATTCCCTGTTTTTTAAATGCCCATCACGGCTGTAGATGCTGATGAATGACGCCTTGCATGGGGGAGGACGTAATCCTAAAGACTCGACCATTCTCCTTTTTTCCGGATCTTCGGGACAACATACACGAAAGAGCACGGTGGGGTTGGAAACTACGGCCTGTTGGCCCGTTATGACACTCGGGCAATGCGGCATGCGAACACCACATCGGAGGACGGACCATCAACATCATCGACATCTTTTCCTTTGCTTTGGTTTCGAATACAGTGGAGGATCATCTGGCGCTGAAATGTGTCAGAGATGGGGGATTAGGATGATGACCTTATGACGATTGTTCCTTTCACAAAAGTGTGAGACGTGTGTTGGAAACTGTCTCTTTAGGTAATGACTTGACGAATGGAAATAAAAAAAGCTGTTGCTGCTTCAAAATTACAGGCCTTGTAAACCGTGAAGTTGTGATGTTGAAGGCAATCTCTTCTTCTTGATAGTTGGGCGGGCAGAGCACTTCAGGCCAAGTGTGAGAACCAATCTGACTGGCGATTGGGTTATGGTTTTTGGCTAGTGTTGATGTCGGTCGGTCTCACGGATATACAAATCGTCTCGATATCGATTGACTTCAACGACCTGGGTTCTCAACTATCCAATACGGGTTTAATGTTGGAAATGAGAACAGGACTAAGACTTACTCGACTAGGTGATAATTCAGATCCCGTTCTAGGTTTATTCGAGCAGAGCTGGAGATCAATGCACATATTGGTTGGCCAAAGTAACACAAAGATATCAAACTTAATGTGTATAAAATGATTAATTGACAATCGCCTTACTTTTATCTACCTCAGCCCAAATGTTGGTAGTTAACTGGCCGATGTAAGGTAATTAAGATGGGAGGGCTCGCTCGCCAGTAAGGCAAATACCCCAGGGCTCCCGTCGGCTAAAACCCGGACCGCCTGCCCTTCCGCCAAGGTAGCGCTAAGGCACCTTGACCACCTGCGCGTCGGGGGTAGGTACCTCGCTCGAGCTGCCTTACAGCTCAAGTATTATTCTGCGGCTCAACTCGAGCTTGGAGCGACAATCCTGTCTTCATCTCCCACTTTTATTTGCGGCACTACCACTACTTTGAACAGCTACAGAACTTGGAGACGAAGCATTGGCATCGAATATTCAAATTGATGGCCGCAAGGGCGCAGACATAGTATCACGGCGCGACGCTGCCCTTCTACGACTCTTGCCTTCAATCACGATCGAAATCGACCGACCGACCGACCGAATCACAACATGGCTACTCCGACGCAGATGAAGCATGCGGCTTCCCAGCAGGGCAGAACCCCTTCGCAGCTTACAGCAGCGACTCCGCCGGTGTCGACGCCATTTTCAGCATCGCAAGCGCACACAGCCTTTTCGCCGAGAGGACCTAAGTCGTCGCCTCAGCAGTTTAAGAAATCGCCAGCGACCTCGACCACTTTGATGGGCCACCCAGCTAATGGTGCTCTCAACTTCGATAGCCCTTCCGCAGCAGCTGCGATGGGCGCGCTTGGGATCAGTGGTGGACTGGACATGGGACTAGATCATGCCGGGATCGCGGGCTTCGGTGGTCTGGGAGCATTGGGTAGTGAGGACGACAAGCTCAAGAGGTTTGATACCGTCATTGATATTCTCAGCGTAAGTCATGGCTGTTTGTTTCTCATGGTCGCAATGGAAATTAATGATGTCCTTGTAGAAGGCAACAGGTCGAGTCAGCGAAGCAGGCCTCGAACGACTTACGCTCCGAACTGGTCTTACTAGCATGTGGGATGAGCACCGGTCGCCCGACGGCAGGAAGACAAAAATGCTCGTCATCGCCGGACAAGCATTGACCATCGATATCGAGCTGAACAACAATATCGTGGAGAATGTCTCGTTGGGCTTTCCAGAATCAGGGCCAGTTGTCACAAGACATAAGGATCAAGCTGGCAACATCCTGCTCAAGGATCTGCAACTTCGCCCT